GCATTTTTGAGTTGGGTCTCTAGACATGAAATTGCCCCTGTATATATTTATATAAAGAGGCCCCTATGTACATTTTCACAATAATGTGAATATACTTTATTTAAAATATTTACTTAACTTTAACATTCTTGTGGTTTTTGTACGTCTGTCTTTGTAAAAACAAGAGTATGTATATATGACATTGTATGTATATATGTATATATTGGAAATAAAATAAGAAACCGTTATAGATTGAGTTAAGGAAATATCCATTGTGAATCAAGTGACAAATATTATTAAATACAAATCAAGATAATATGTATTCATAACGCGCTTGGTGGAAGCTCATTTATAATTAACACAGATGAGCACAGGGCCTTTACTGCCTTGACTCGTTTTTGTCTCAAGAAAAATGTTTTCCAAAGAAGTTTAAAAGTTTTAATATTCTTGAAATGGCTTATCGCCATTGAAGGTGTATCTCAAAGGCATTTCATACGATATACAAATTTCATAACATTCCAATGGGTGAAATAAGAAAGAATTTAAAAAAGCCTTAAAAGGGACTAAAGTTATATTTTCGATGGGAACATCAGTATCTTATTTCTTCTACATACAAATGGCTCCACTCTTAGTATAAGTTTAAAAGAGAGATGGGAGCAGCTAATGGATACTTTTACTTATTTTTATTGTCTACATTTATTACCTTTTACTTACTTTAACACTAAATAGATTAAAAATAATTTACAAATATTGTATTCCATCATATTTGTCACACTGTTGTCAAACGATACGATATATTACTTTAGATTTTATTCTTTTTTTTACATTTTCTTACCAAACTAAAGCCATAGGTTATGTTTGTTTTATGTTAAAAATCTTCAAATATATTTTTGCATAGTGTACAACGTGCATACATCACTAAAGTATGTGAAAAATCCCAAAAAAAAAACATAAGATTGGATGCAGGTCTATTGCATGTTTGAACATACAACATTTTAACACATCTATACAACGCACACGAGAAAAAATTAAATGTATTTGCTCAATAACCGGCAGTTTTATATATAAGTGTATCCCAGTAATCTAGAAAGAAGTTAGTTTATACAGTTTTTGAAAATATTATAGAAAATTGAGCCAATAAATTTGTATTCCACGTATTAGAATACTCTGTGTAGTTTTTCCTAAGAAAGCCTAGTAAAATCCCTTACTGGAAACAGCCACTACGAACTGCAGGTTGTAAACAAAGGCATATAAGTATGTACTTCTACACAAACACTTACTACTTTACATGCATTGTATACATATGAGTAGATGTAAGTAAGTGTGTATGTATGCAAAGTGTTTGTAATACATTCACTTTTAGACACTTTTGTATTCTAAAAATAAAATAAAACGTTTGCACATAGTCACAGATACAAAAACTATTGGGAATGCTTTTAATGTAAGTTAATGTTTGAGGGCAGTGCAAAAAGTTGATTTCTCTTATAAAATACATGTATATTAATGCCATATGATCAGGCCTGGGACGGAATTCCATTCAGATCGAAAGTGGAATTATTTTCGTTTATATACCGTTGTAACGCATAGAAACATCTTAAAGTATACCAATCGTCTCAGAATCATTTTTTGAATTGATTCAGTGATGTGCCTGTCTGTCTGTCCGTTTGTCTGTCCATCTGTCCGTCTATGTAAACCTTGTAATCAAACTACAGGTCGCAATTTTTTAAGTAATTTGAAGAAATTTGGCACAATAAGATCAGACCTATTAAATAAGGTTATATTATTTCACCTAGCCCCCACACAACCGTACCCCCAAATAGAGTTTTGGAACTCATATTTATATTCAATGTTCTAGTATGTATCTCTATAAAATTCAGAAACATTTTGTTTTATATAATTTAGTATAATTGATAATGCTGATTTTCGTAATAATTGGGCCTCATTTGACCCTATCCCCTATACAAAGTCTTCTTCAGAAAATGTTTTGAAATCAATAACACACGCCGACAAAATTTGAAAAAAGTTGAGGGTTTCGACTAACTTATACCGGCACGAGATATCGTTTCCTGAAGTTTGAAACGCAAATTTTGGCAATTTTTGAGACGTTATAACAGCGCCATGACAACTTGGCACTCTTTCGAATTCAGCGTAGCTCAAGAAAACTTTACTTTGGTATATGGGTTAAAAATTTGTCGACCTGTGTAATTTATGTATTGAAGATCAAAGGTCAGCCATACCCGACATTTTCACTTGTTTAACGTAGAATTAAAATTTGTTATCGTTATTTTAATTATTAATCAATAGTTTTAATAAAAGTAATTTCACTTTCGATCAGAATAGATTTTCTTTGACAGGACTTAATACTCAACATATGTCTAATAAATTAATTACCACCGTTAATAAAATGATAAAAGGGTATATTCATATATGGAACTCTCATTCGAAATTCTCTTTGAATTTACATTACATGTTTAAATTAATTTGAAAAACTTCTCTTAAGAGACACTCAAGACACATTTTCATTTTTTATTTATTATATTAATTTATATTGTTCTTTAATATTTTAAAATTTAAAAAAAGAATTTTGAGATCACCCTCGAATTTATATAAATTTTGTCGATATGCATGTATGTTGATGTTAAAAAATATTAAGTGATGCTTATCGATAGTGAAATATGATATTGGATATGATGTTGCAAACAATACTTGAACGGAGCCAAAAGATCAATATACCCAGATAGTAGTCATAATTTGTTATGACAACAGAAAATTCCATTTCAATAAATTACAAAAACTAAATGAAAACTATAGACATTTCTACAAAAAAAAAAAAAACACATACACACAATTGTTGTATATAGGCATGTATGTATATAATACATATGTATGTATGTGAAGGAAAAAGTGCATATTTCAAGTTATGCAATAATAACAAAGGCTAACAAATGTTTAACCCAGAGACTAAAGTATACTTTTATGAAGTATTAAACTGCACTAAATCCGGCCTTAGAATTAATCTAACACATCAGCTATTTAAGATATCGTGTCCTGAAGTTTGAATAAACAATTTTGCCCCTTTTTGTGAGGTTATAACAGCACTTAGACAACTTTATTTATAAAATGATGTATGTCATCTAAAAGTCCATTCTGTCAGCTTTAAAATAAAGGCTTAACATTTGCCATATTTTCTTTCTTCTTTGATATATCTTCGATATATTTTTCACATTTGAAATATCTAATGGAATATAGAACTTCGTAAAAACAACTTATGTGCTTTTGCTTTATTACAACAGTATTTATAAATACATACATACATACATATATTACTCTAATTATAATTTATATAAAAATATATATTTTAAATTGTCTGTTGCACAATATGTATATCAGTAGTACACAAATTATAAATAAAATTAATTATAAAATAAAAGCGCATTTTAATGAAATTATATATGTTACAATACGAATGATTTAAATAATAATCTAATAAAGAAAAATGCAATAGAATTTTTACAAAAAATAATAGAAACCGATAACAATCGATTTAAGTAACATAACTGTAGTATCGATTTCAAATTTTTGTTTAGTGTTAATAATAAACTTAAGCGTGGTGGGAATGAAACATATATTAACAGACAATCTCGCAATTGAAGACAATTTGATATTACCGTCCTCTTAAGCAAATGACCGCCACACTCATTATACCCTACACCATTATAGTGGGGGGGCACAAAAATATAGGTCTTATATCCACCTTAGAGTATACCACTAGACTCAGAATTACTTTCTGAGTCGATTAAGATATGTCCGTCTGTCCGGCTGGCTGGCTGTCCATGTAAACCTTGTATTTTGATAAAATTTGGACCATACGAGTTTTTTGGTACAAGAACGATGTCTACTGAAAATAGTTCAAATCGGTCCATTATTTCACCTAGCCCCCATACAACCTGACCTTCCGATTTGGGAGTTTTAACTCAAATATACTACTATATCTCCAAAAATTGGCACAACTAAGTCTTATATAGGCATAAATGACTAAGCCGATATTCGACCATGCCCGACTATACTTTCCTGCTTGTTTTATTTGGCAGGTCCGGTGCATCCGGACCTGCTGCATGTTAGTTTATAACCTTCAAATTAAAGTTGAAATTCAGAAACAGTTTCATTGTAGGCATGTGCAACTTTTTTATAATCAGACCAACCGTTTGAAATTACAGATTTATTTCCCTATTTTAACTACTTATATATTGATTTATTAGTTAGTTGTAGTAGCTCTGAATGCTCTTAAGCAATCAGTTCCTACATAGCTCACAAACTCAACTGAGGGAACTTTGCATATAATTCAATTTTCTTACTTACTCAACATAATAACCATTTTTAAGTTAACACTTTTCGCAAACAGTTTTTTCAAAGAAATCAAAAAATAAATAAATATTTTTTTATGTCCCTTTATTTGCTTATACCTCAAAGCCTTTTTAACGTTATATCCTACAACTGGTTTATACATAGTTATTTAATTTTTTTTTTATCTACAAGTGCGCGTATTTTTATATTACACTTCCTTGCACACATTGGTTTGTGGCCATGTTTTCTTCAACTGAATTACTCAAGCCAATGCCATTGCAATGTTGAAAATATATTTGTAAATACTATTTCTTTCATCCGACACTCACAGCACTCTAAGGATTTAAATTGAAAACCATTTAATGTGTTTGAGAAGGATAAGCTCCATATTGCAAGTTGAGGAGCTAAAAGTGCAAGAATATGGAGTAACAGATTTCTTACCAAGATTTCTTGGGTTAAAATTCTGGTTATTGGTTTAGGTTAACTGTGGTAAACAGTGATTTTTTATGGTTTTCATAGAGGCTTTATGTGTTAACATACATATATATTTTTTTATTGTTAAGAGTATTTTTATTTCATAGTTAAACGTAATAAGTTTAATATGTAGTATGTATTAAATAAGAAATATATTTTTAAATATTTTTATTTATTAACAATTATTTTTCTTTTACTTTTAGAGACTGCAGAGTTGTTCGTGATCCTCAGACATTAAAATCTAAAGGTTATGGTTTTGTGTCGTTTATTAAAAAATCGGTAAGTTTTTTCTGCAAACCTATAATTTAATTCTTTATATAAAAAGCAAACATTTAATTTAGTTAAATTTATATATCAAGTGATTTCCTTGCGTAATCTTGCTAAACAAATAACTTTTTATGTGTAAACTAATCCGCAATAATGTCGAGATTTCAATATGCTTTTATTTCGGACAAATTAACACAAATATAAATATTTTGCAGAAAATAAAATGAGTAAGAAAATATATTGGAATATGTCCGACTATATGACACTCTATAATATATATGAGTAAACTTAATAGAGTAACTTTATATTAAAACAATTTCCCAACATTAAGTCAGAATTCAAAAAGTAGGTCTAATATGGTAGCGAGCTCTCTAGATATATAAAGATACTTTTCAAATCTCACCACTAACGGATAATACCCTCCATACTCTAGGGGAGTATGGTTTAAAACTAACGGAAACAAACAATAATTGCCAAATATACATACACATATTACATATGTATGTATGTATGTATGTATGTATGTATATGTATGTATGTATGTATGTATGTATGTATGTATGTATGTATGTATGTATGTATGTATGTATGTATGTATGTATGTATGTATGTATGTATGTATGTATGTATGTATGTATGTATGTATGTATGTATGTATGTATGTATGTATGTATGTATGTATGTATGTATGTATGTATGTATGTATGTATGTATGTATGTATGTATGTATGTATGTATGTATGTATGTATGTATGTATGTATGTATGTATGTATGTATGTATGTATGTATGTATGTATGTATGTATGTATGTATGTATGTATGTATGTATGTATGTATGTATGTATGTATGTATGTATGTATGTATGTATGTATGTATGTATGTATGTATGTATGTATGTATGTATGTATGTATGTATGTATGTATGTATATTAGATCTGTTCTCAAAATTTAGATATCACTTAGAAGATTTTTTCACCATATCAGACTTATTTTGTCGGTTATTTAAAATCATTAGATTGCTCTTCATGTTAAAATCTGTTCGAAAATGATAAACACCAAACGTTATTCATAATCAAATTTTGTGTTATAAACTTTTAATAAATTTAAAACTTCATTATGAATATGGAGCTAATTCCAAAGAAATAATAAATCCTTTTTTAAGGACTAATCTAATGTGCATATAGGGGCATTAAAAACACAAGAAAAAAAATTACAAAATACATAAAAGCTTTAAGTGAAAATTCGGAAAGCCACATGTGTCATGAAGCGTAAATAAGCTGAAAAGTAAACAAAATAACGGTATATGACATCGAAAAAAGATGTACATTGGAATAAAATATACTTAAACGTTCACAAACAAATGAACAAACAAACAAACACACACATATACACAAGTACAAACATAAACATAAATTGACATGGATGTACATAAGTATGTGTGCATAAAATATTTTGGTATTTGTATAAATATACATACAACAAACACTAAGATGAATGTAATGATGATAATGATTTTATATACTTAAATATAGAAAATTCCTTTATATAATTTACATAAATATATGTATTTACAAAACCTTATGAATGACATAAGTGTCAAGGATTAAGTTGTATTTACACACTGTTGGTTAACACATTACTGATTAAGATTTCAAAATCAAAAATCGTATTCTGTTTGTACTTTTAAACATAAATACATTTATTTTATTAAATGTACGTACTTGTGGATAGCTGTATTTTTGTCTACAAAACATAATGTTAAAGCTAAACCAATATAATCTTTAATACTTAAAGTGTTAAATAACATTTTGGTGTGATTAAGCAGATGATATAAATTTACATTTTATAGCGTTATTAAATATTGTGCATACATATGTATATATATTTCAAAATTTGATCTAAAAGGCAAATTGGAAACTTAAAAAACTATTTAATTATGCAAGTTTTAAAAATTGTATAAATCAAACTATTGAATATAATATACTTAGCCCCGTTAACTCCAACTTCGGTTATCGTTTAAACTGTAGATAGATTTTTAAAAGGCAGCTAGTAATAAAACTGGTATTAGAAATTGATAAAATTAAAAAATATGTTACCTCCTCTCCATCAATTTTTCTTAATAGTAGATTTCTCCAAAATTTTTTGCAAAATAAATTTCACATCTTAGCGCATACGTATTATGAGAATAAAACAATAATCATACGCCCTAGAGATATTTGTGCAGGTGGTGGCCTACATAGATAGTCGAACTACGCAATTAATTATTTATGAAGTAGATGTATTATAGACAGTATTAAGAGACATAAGTATATACTTTTGAATATAAATACAAACATACCTACTTAATATAAGTTTGTAATTTTAAAAATATTCGATGAAATTCGGTGCACATATTATTTGCTAAATCTAAAATTTAAAGTTCGTCACAATTTTCAAATTTTCTACGGTTTAGATTTTATCAGTGTTTTTAAATTTTGTAGGTATTTATGCAAACAATGTGTGAATTTCATCAAAATCGGAGAGGGTAATGCTGTTTAGTTATATAAGTAATTAATTTTCAAACCTTCCTTCCTAATACTTATTGTCATACATAATTCCTAAATTATATTACACAAAAAGAAATTAAGCACCTTTATTTTACAACAAAATATAAAAACTAAACTAAAGACTCTTTAAATAGTTTCAGAAAACTAAAAGCCAATTAACTACTCATGACCAGTGGTTGGGAAAATACAACACGAACATAAAACTGTTATTTTTATTGGTTTGGCAACAAAATATTTTCTATTCCTATTTTATAAACTTAATATTTCTTTATCAAATAATAACCACAACACAAAAGAAGTAATGAATTGCTAATTCTATAAGACAGTTCTAGTTCAGTTCTAGTTCAGTTCTAATTCAGTTCTAGTTCAGTTCTAGTTCAGTTCTAGTTCAGTTCTAGTTCAGTTCTAGTTCAGTTCTAGTTCAGTTCTAGTTCAGTTCTAGTTCAGTTCTAGTTCAGTTCTAGTTCAGTTCTAGTTCAGTTCTAGTTCAGTTCTAGTTCAGTTCTAGTTCAGTTCTAGTTCAGTTCTAGTTCAGTTCTAGTTCAGTTCTAGTTCAGTTCTAGTTCAGTTCTAGTTCAGTTCTAGTTCAGTTCTAGTTCAGTTCTAGTTCAGTTCTAGTTCAGTTCTAGTTCAGTTCTAGTTCAGTTCTAGTTCAGTTCTAGTTCAGTTCTAGTTCAGTTCTAGTTCAGTTCTAGTTCAGTTCTAGTTCAGTTCTAGTTCAGTTCTAGTTCAGTTCTAGTTCAGTTCTAGTTCAGTTCTAGTTCAGTTCTAGTTCAGTTCTAGTTCAGTTCTAGTTCAGTTCTAGTTCAGTTCTAGTTCAGTTCTAGTTCAGTTCTAGTACTAGCAATTACATACATGGATGCAAACATGTATTATTTTCTAATTATTTAGTTTTAATAAAATATACGCTGCCTATTACCTAAATAAAGATTTTGAACGAATATTTGGAGTTTTAAAACTGTGGTTTGCTGTCTAGCTGAGGATTGTTAGGGACGCGTTCGTACAAATGATTATTTAAAAGGTGGAACAACATGTTTTGGAGCTATCACTAGATTAATATAATTTTTATAATTTCTATGAAACTTTTCGAGTCCTATTTTTCTGAAGTTCAAAATACTTTCCTTTGGCATTATAACAATAATCTGCCAGTTTTCTAATTTTTAATATAATACCTTTCAAGTTATTTATAAAAAGCCCTAATTCAATTATAGATATAGAAAAAAAATGTTCTTTAGAAGAACGAAGAAAATCTGTTCATTATTTCGACCGAATTAGTAGTAAGAATATGGTCTTTTATACGGCAAAATCAAATCAACTCAGATATCTACTTTACAAGATATATTCATTCAAAACTGATGAAATTAAATTCCTTATTTAAGTGATTCGCAGTGTATGGGATTCGTATTTTTTTATATTGTTTGTTTAGCAAATAAGAATTAAATAAATTTTCCTAATTTAGAAAAAAACAACAAATTTTTATGAGCTTTTTTGTGTTTATGTAAGTTTTTCTTATCAGTTTCCTTTCATCTCGAAATTTTAATAGAAATAGTCTCGCCATTCAACTCAGTTTTAGTTATTTTTTCAGCATGAATATGATTTTTGTAGTTTTGTGATTTTTCGTTCATTTTGTTTCATTAATTGTTGTTACTGTTGTTATAAAAAGGTCTAACGGCAGAATATAAAAAGCTAATAATAATAAATAATCACTAAAGTAGAGGAAATGTCTACAGTTGAATATTTGCGTTTTTAGCTTTAACAATGTTATGACTAAAAATTGGAAATAACGAAAAATATAATTATTAAGGTAGTTTTTTAAATACCAGTAGGAAATATAAGAAAATTAACAATTGATCTAAATTCTCCGTTGATTGAATGGTATATTGGCTTTGTTGCGATTTTTATTACGAATAAAAATATTGTTCCTAAAATTAAACAAGTTGGATCTTGTAAATCTTGTAATTATTAAATAAGTTTCATAACTTGTGTAGGTTGTCATATGATTGACCTTGACCGGCTAAACTTAATTGGTTATTTTTATTAAATATTGGTATATTCTAGTTCAGTTCTAAATTAAAAATGTATGTGTGGTTAGGAAACTTTGAAATTTCCTATTGGTAGCTCAAACTTTTTCCACTCATTCGTTGCAATATACATACATAAAATACAATAGCAATCCGCTTTTATTTCTAGAAAAGTAAAAATATTCATGTTTTTATTGTTATTTATGGTTTTAGTTGTTAAATGGAATCATTCATTTCATGATTATTGAATATGAAAATTAACATACAAAAAGCTTAAAAAAAATTAATTAATTTACAATAAGGCGAGTTAACAGAAAAACCAAGTAAGAGTAGAAATATAATCACATTAATGGATATATAAAATGATTTTTATCCTAGATAGTCAGCACCATTTATTCTTTATAATGACCGTAAAAATTTTAATAAGGTGTGAAAATTTAGTA